AACTAACTTCAAGTTTTCCATCAGGCTCTTCCATTTTACCAAAATTACACATCAAGTAGCCAAAATTTTTGGTATAAATTCTTGAAATCGCTCCAAAACATTTAAATGGATCTCAACACATATCACTAGCAACAATGAATCACTGGGCAAGAACCATTTAGGTCTTAGGTAAAGTATATAAAATTAATTATATTAAAATTATTACTATCTGACCTAAAAATTTCCCCTGAATAGGACATTAAAGTTTATTTTAAACTATGCATGATTGCTCTGGTGCTTTGTAAACTCTTACAAGGACAAGACAGATGAACCTGCAGAGAGGTTCATCACAGACCAGATGCAGTGGGTCCTATTAGACCACCCAATCACAGCAGACCTGTGTAGTAACCTAAGACTTTTCAAACTCAGTTCAACCTGAGTAGACAACATGGTCAACAGAAATGTCTAGTTTCTTTCTAGGAGAATAACTCCACTTCAAGGCTCTCCAGTACTGTTCTCTATGAACACCTGGACAAAGGTAACTCCTTCCTGATCTGATCCTAAGCCTCCCCTTTGGCTATAAAGCCAGGAGTCTCCCCAAATCAGAAACATTTGGGCATCTTGAACTTCATAAAAGCAGAAGGTAAATCTACTAATTGTCAGATATTTGCAAAAACTGCTGAAGTTCTCACTTTAATCACAATTTCCCAATTAGTACTTGTTACTGAGGGGCATCTACTATTAAGAGAGATGCTTCCCTCCAAAGCAAGCTTCCCTTGCTGTCTACAGTCTGTAGTGGAACTGTTAGGGTGTTTGTTCATTTTTTAGCCACCCAAAATTGAATTCCACTTTCAGAATATTATCCTAAAGCAAAACTATGCAAACCAAATCTGTTTATTAGAGCCTGGAACTGGTGGGAAAATTTTTCAAAACCACTTACAGGTATTTCACCACCTCTTATTTTTTTATTAGCTTCTTGTCATATTTTCTCCTTTTTAGTATTTTGTAGCTTGAACAAACTGAGAAGGTTTTCCTCAAAAGAAACTCAGAGAATGAAGTGTTTTGGTAGAAAAAAAAAATTAAAAAGCATCTCTTCCTAAACTGCTCTTCTAATTTTACCAGCCCACATGAAAGGATTCCCATCTTGTGATTTTTTTGTAAAGCCTTAAACAAAACAAACACTACTAAAAAAATAAATTATCAAGCTTCCTGTCCACATCCTAAAAAAACAAAAAAAAACAAAAAAAAAACCCTAAAAGCAGAGAAGGGCAACTAGAAATTGCAGTAACCCCTTCTGAAGAACTAGAAGTAAATGAGAGGCTGACAGAAAATTTTCTATTATTTCTACTTTGATCATTTTGAAGAGACTTTCCTTCCACCTGCTTATTTTAAGGAAGGTTAGGAATGACAGTTGTTGAAACTGGAACACTGAAGCCAGCCACCGAAACCCCCAGTGTCACCGTCACACACTCAAAACGCAAGCCTTATCTCTGTAATTCAGTCCCACCTTTCATTCAAGCAGCTTGTCCTAAGCATGCCATCTCCCTACCGAGGAATCCACCTCCGAAGCCAATTGTTTGGTACATAATACTGAGTAGAACTTCCTGTTCGTATTATTACTCACCTCACCCTGATGTGTGGCAAAAATTGCAAGAGGAACTCTGCTTTACCAAGTGCGTAAAGCCTGTTGGAATGAAAAAGGCGACACATGGTTACATCCTTCTTACATCTAAGAAAAGATGCAAAACAGAGTCAAAGGAGCACTAACAGAACACGTGGTCTTACAAACTCTTGTGATTATAAGTCTTTTAATTATGGAAAGGTTCTCAGAATCCTAACATTGGAACAGTATTACCTGAAAACCTCATCTCTTGCTGAATAAATATATTTTGAACCTCCTTGACAAGTCAGAAAAACAAGGAACCAGAAATCTACTCCAAAACAAAAACTGTAATCTTCTCACAAAAGTGCATCAATACAAAGGACTCTACAATCTTTGAGCAAATTCATGCTGCTGTGAGGGATATCCTCACTGATGAGGAATTGTAGAATTAGTCTTGACCTCTTGCCTCTACCTCCCTTAGTCTGAACTAGGACAAGAGGACTGGAAGTGGGAAATGCCGCAGTTGGTGGTAAGGCATTCTCACCTGCTAACAACTTCTGTTACCAAGCTATCAAAATTCAACAGAAGTACCTGTCATCATCCACAGTGATGACTTAGGCTTCTTTCTTCCCCTTCTCAGCAATATGTAATCTCAAAGACCTTATCTACTAGCCTTAATAGCATATTAACAATGTTATACTATTCACTGGTAGTCTATCAGGATGTGCCAGAAAAGTAAACCACATTGGATAAGTGTGAGTACAGTCAGTTCTGTTCACAAGTGCCAGACAGCACTAAGTCTGATTCTCATTGCATAGTCTACTGGCTTCTTTACTGCTTGTGTTCAGGAGAGGGTAGATGAAACCAATTTCCTCTCAATGTCAGAGGCTGGACAGAGTGTTTTTACTATCATTCAGGACAGTGACATTCAGGAAGAGCTTGTGGGGACACTGGTACTGGTGTGTACACTAAGGTAGCTCAGACTTCAGTTAAGTTTTTAGTTTTGTGCAGACTTTTGTTCTATTGTTTCAGCTTCATCTAGACGTCTCGGCCCATTTAAATCACTGACAAGAGCAATGTTGTTGCAGTAAAGAGCCAAATGTTTCCTGGGAATAAATGACCCATTTTGGAAGAGCAACAGAGGTAGGAAGCCTCAGGAAACACTCTACTGTTAACAACGGTACTAAAATAAATCTCCTCTCCAAATTTTCTAACTATTGTTTAAGTAAGTCTTCTGGAAAGAGGCTAGAATAAATTATCATTCTTTGCTCCTATGCCAATCACATTAACTCCTGCAACTTAGTTAGCTCAGACAATTGGGTCACTGCAACTGTTCATAGTACTAAATCTACACAAGTTTTAAGTGTGCCTTGTAGTTTTTGACATTTTTCTAAGCTTCTCAGTAACCTAAATCTGCTTCAAATAAATTATCCAAAACGAGGACAAATTTACAGAAAGATGTCTTGAACTAATAAAGTCAAAATTTATTTCTGCAATAAAACAACAGCTTGTTTTCCCATCCTGTGTCACAATGTTTATTGCAAACTGAAGCTGAGAAAAATGATGTGTAACCAGGAAACACAACCCGAGTATTAATCTGTCCTTATCGGTCATCCAAACAGGGCAAAAAATAACTAAACTGTGGCTTATGTGAAATATAAACCTTTATTTGGGGGCAAGACAGTGAGGATGGAATGTAGAATGAGTCTCTGAGGACAGGCAAAAGCTTTCAACATAATTCCTAAGATCTCATAACCTAAGGCTGAATAATAAGCTAAAAATCTCACCTCTTAAGATCCATTTTAGAGAACTGGCATCCAAAAGTAGTAACAATTTTAGGACCTAGACATATTTGCAGATAAGCTTTGAGAGAACCCTTGAACTAAAACCAGGCACACAACTGAACACCATCCAACCACACTGAGTTACTCCCCATCAGCTCAGCTGCCATAACTGTGGGTGAACACTTGCCCGAGACCTTTCTTCCAGTTCTGCCAGTGAAGATTTGGAACTCCAGGTGTTGCAACTCTCACCACCTGTCCTTATTTACAAGATAAAATATAGCAGCTTAAAATTCAATGGAATTTTCAGGGAATACACTTACATAAAACAGTGAGCTTCCATTCCCAGTTGTACTATCACATATTCAAAAAGAACACCAGCTCCGACGTGGCAGCATAAACATGCACTTAGGGATGCAGTTTCTTCCCCCCTGCCAAGAAGCTGCATCCATGCAATCTCAGTGAACTCTTGCCTCCATATAGAAACAAACCAAACGGTTTAGGTGTCAAGGAATAAAGACATTAATCTCCAAATGCTGCATCTTTACCACAGTTATTTTGATGAAGACATATATATTGATACAGTTTCACTTTGTTACCTACCTATGCTGAATGAATCATCTTAATGATAAAGACATGGATTTATACATTAAAGGACTGCTCAAGTGGCTGCCCTTACATGTTCACAAGGACTAAGAGTGCACTAATACAGCATTCCATTTCTGCCAATTTCGTTTCAGTCAGAACGAGAAGAGCGCTTGAGGCTGCGCTTTAATTCCATCTCTGACCATTAGTAACACAGGGCAAGATGCTGAACCTGACTCTATGTCCAAGTCTAAAAAAAAAGAACAAGCAACAGTGACAAAAGTCTGCAAAAGTTCTAATGCACCAGCAGGACAGAGGAACCACAGTTTCAAACAGAAAGGAACTTCCTGGCCACAAATGATAAAATTGTTATGCTTAAATCAGTATTACTGGCATGATGTGGACAGACCAACTGCAGGAGCAGATTTAAGCTCCTTTTCTCCAGTTCACCATGTTTGAATGCTTCCATCTTATAGTCAATCACAGTATTGTCTCTTACCTATGATACCTAGCTTGCTTATTTCACAGTACAATGTGATTTAATCTCTTCCTAAGAAAGCTTCTGGAGCAATGCCTAGTTTGAGAAATAACATTTCACAAGGAATGTACATTGACTGCAATTAATTCCTATAGACAGAGAGACTAATTAACAAGAATCCAACTAATAACTTGGTTGGATTCAATCCATACACTGAACTGGCAACATGCACCAGGAGGAGGAGGCAGAGGGTGCAAGGATATATTTGGGGAAGAAATCACACATGACAGGCCCTTTCAAAGTGGCTCACAGACATTTTAAATGTTGCCCAGACACTCTTAACCCTTGGTCTCATCTAGTTTCCATCACCTCTACAGGCTTCTTTTCTCATGCTATGTCTTTCCTGCACACACAATGCAAAGATGCCTTGGCTGTTTCAGTTTTCAGCTTAAAGATTAAAATTACATTCACAGATGTGCATCACTCTTAACAAAAGCAAGCTTCTGCACATTTGCACTGTTATTGAATGTCCTTGTGCATCAAATCCAGCAACAGAACATGAAAGGGAAGGAAGTTTTCTTAGTAACACCATTTTTATTGCCAAGTTCCGTTTACAAAGAAAGGTCTATTTTTCATTCTTGCCCAGGTTTTCAATAGCCACAACACATGATTAATGCCAGCAAATACAGACTCAGCTATAGAAATCTGTCAGAAACATACACCAGTATTTTCTAATTTTGCTCCCTTCTCAGACATTTATTTACATTTTTCTTTAAATTAACATAAGATATTGTCACATTTGCTCTAAATGTCTAACATAACTTACATTAAATAATTAATACTTATTGCCTGTAGAAAGACATTTCAGATTTCCATTCACCCTGTGTTTGGGCTTTTTTCAATGTCAATGTAAGTGCCTGTTCAGGACTTTTTCTTTTTTTTTTCAAATGAAGTACATTTTGGACACAACTTCACTAAAATACATCCCATAGGAAGACAGTCCTTCATGCTCATCAAATGCTTTATGTAGTGTTTAAGTCCCAGGTGCATTCATTCTTCTAGAAAAATACATTTCCTCCTCTTTGCACTTGAAACAATCAAACTTACAAACCAGCTCAAAATGAAGTAAAAAGTTTGAACAAAATTATCCATACACCTATTCACAAGTGGAGATGCTTCAAGTTATCCCCTAAAATGCTTCTAGCAGGTCCCCTAGAGCTGTAACAAGGTATTATTCAGTGCTATCACTGGGCAAAACAAAGCTCTGAGAAATTCTAAGACTCTCTAAACCTGGCACCCGTGAATCTATTCTCAATCCTTTTCAAAATGATCTTCATGTTCATTGTACATATTTCTGCCACACTTAGTTCTTAAACACACCCGAACACAAAATCTCAGACCTTCTCATCTGCTCATACATACTTTGGTTATAAGACAGTACTTATTGTGTCTTAAACTCACTTTAGTATGAGTACCCATAACCAGAAAGTAATGGGGAACAAGATGAAAAAAACAGCCCTCACGTATCTTAAGACTGCAATCTAATAGAATCCTGGGAATGCTATATACTAGTCTGCACCTTATTGAACTCTAACTTCTGTTATCAACAAGTATACTTAGTCATTACCTGCTTCTTAAGCCCTTTTTAGTAAATGCACTCCACACATTTATGCTAACAATGACTCAAGTTTTGCCTTTTCATATTAAGAATGAATTCAAGTTAGCAAAACAATAAACCAGATACTGCACATTTATTACACAAGCAAAACGCAGTTTTACAGTAATAATACATTAACAAACAAAATACATATTTTATAACAATTCGCAAAAGAAATCAAATCTGAGCAATGCACAAGTCTAAAAATTTGGGAGATCAAAATAGGGAAAATTCTGTACAAATGTAATATAAAAATACATTTCCATATGAAAGAACCTTCTGTTTAACAGTCCAGAACTGCATCTCCCATGTCTTCATTGCTGCTCAGAAAGTCCTGAGCAGCAGGAAAAAACTCAAGCACTTTCCCCCCACCCATCCCTAAAAACATTCCACCCCCACAAGCCCTGCTTGGATCACTATCTGCTTTTCAGAAGCCAACAGGAGACAGTAAGAAAGAGTTATTATTCGGAGACAGTAAGAATTATTGTATTTCTTTCTAATGCATGCTGCAAATGTTGGGAAAGGTCAGAGCAATAGAGCAGGCAAGCACAGGAGAAACGCTCCAAAGACTTCTAGGAAACAGAAGAGCAATGCCCAGGTTAGTGACAGCCTACGGTAAGCCAGTGATGGTTAAACAGTGACATACCAAAAACTTGTTTCAAGAAGAGTAACAGACCGAAAGAAGATCTTCAACTTACATTTAGATGCCTAACATTAGGTTGCCTAAAAATAAGAAGACTCATCAAGGAGACTCATTATCTTTGAGGCACAATGTCTAGATTTCACTGATACTAATGGCCCTGCGTGTTGTTCCTTTGACTCAATTGACTAACAGTTTCCTATATAGCAGCTGCTTGTCAATGCTCTTTTAAAAGCAACTCCCCTTTTAACTTTAGCTGGTTAGTGAAGACAACATCAGAATGTTTAGCCTTGTGTTTTGGGGTTTTTTTAAGAGTACTACGTGCAGGTCACTGAAACTATGCATTAGGCTATTCTGTAGTCATTACCTATACTGCATGCAGCAAAAGGAGTGACTGATTACACCAGAGCACTGGCAGCCCATGGTATTAAAGTGTTTACTTTCACAAAGTGGCTTTGTACTTATACATACAGTTTGCCTTGCTTGTCTGATAGCTTACCTATGTCTTCAAGCATACTGCTTGAAGTTTAATTTACTACTAGCAAAATGACACTCAACTGCAGGAAAAATACTGAATTCTTAGATTGTTTAAAGTAATCATCCCAGGCCACGTGCAGGAAGTGTGGAAATTATAGTTACTGCTTAATAAGGAAAAAAACCTCACCAGTAATTTCAGTCTTAAAGTTGCTGGTTTTGCTACAAACAAACTATTTTAACCACCAGTTTCAAATTCTACACACAAAAATACTTCAAACCTACAAAAAAGCCCCATTATTTCCCCCTATATTCTATCTCTGTTAGACAAAAGGGTCATATGAATTGCTGGACATTCACTTAAACTCTGAATAGTGATCTAGCTTTGAGTCTTAAATTCTGGATATGGAAGAAGAGTTTTTAAATGTCACACACTTGTTCTTTAGCAACAATACTGGATAAGGATAAATTAATTCTGGAAGATATTCCCAAATTTTCCTTACCAAGCGACCTCAAGGAAAATTCCAACTGTGCTGTGAAGCAAAGAACACTGAGGAGCTTCTTTAACAGGTGTCACTTTGTATTTACTTATTTATTTAACTCAGCTTAATTTAAGGAAGTCAGAATTTTAGTTTATCATCAATTAGCAGTGGGGAATACAAAAGACTTCAGTCCTTATATATAATTCATTATTTCACACAAAAAATACAGCTTCCAGTATTAATAAATGTGAGCACAGTTCTAATTAATTTGGTTTAATCCACACAGCTTGTAAAATGGAACACAGGAAGCTTAAACTTTGGTTTCTTCCTACATCAAAGAACTTCTGCAAAACAATTTTTACACACAGGTTTCACACTGCAAGCATTACTTCCATGGTGAAACGGACATCAGAAATGGGCACTAATGTTCCTTCCCTCCCCTTCTTTACCAAATTACCAAGCATATGCTGCCATTACACCTTCACAGGTGAAAAGCGTGAGTCTTGTTCATTGTCATTAACACTTCATGACAGAAAAGCCAAGGAACCAGCAAGAGGCAGTGAGACCTAACAGTGAAGGCAACACACAGTTCTCTTAAACAAGTGATATTTTGGTAAAATTTGGTAAAATTTGATAAAATGAGCCACAGAGACCATAAAAAATGTTTAGTGTGCCTTAGCTTCTCTTCTCAAAAGGAAGAGAAAAATACAGTTGCTTTATGTTAAGAGAATATGGCTGAAGACAGGCATAGCCTCTACAAACAAACACTGAGAATTTAGCATCTCCAAAATTTTGGCATTTTTCTCTGGAGCACTGCTATATTTATTTTAGAGTGATTCTACCTCCCTCTGCAGTATTACACCAAAATAGTGAGCCTTTTGAAGAGCCAGTTGTTTAACTGCTACTCCCATTTGCAACTTGGTATTTGGATTTGGTTAAAAAGAGGGATGTTACACTGACTGACATCAACTTTTGTTTAGAAAAAAATTACATTTGCGGCTGATGTGCTCATGCTTTCTTGGTTGAGTTTCCTTTTTACAGTGAAAGGGGGATAAGGAAACAGCCCTGGAGTTTATCTGATAAGGATGAGACACATGCGATACTCTTCAAGGAACTGCAGACGAATAACACCGTACTTGCAGAGATAACAGACTGGTGATGACAGATTACTTCAGCATCTCCAGAGCTTCTACATTCTGAAGTCTCTTAATGCAGCACGAAGCACAGTCATATCATATGCCTTAATATAAAAAGCAAATAACAGGGGGAAAAAAACAAAAATCAGTTGCTTCTGTGGCATAACCAGAGGTATAGTCTGTACCAGTTGTGTTTATAAAACAACAGTGGTAGAACTGGTGCAATCAGAGCTTTTCTAGTGTAACTTCATCTTTGCAGGGAGCTTTTGGAAAGAACTCCTAAAAGAGATCCTACGTTACCACCCATTGACCAGCAAGGCTCTGCCAGCAATGGACTAGACAGTATTTCTATTTTCCTAAAACTAGTATCTATCTCAGTCATTTCCTGTGAAGCTCTCGGTAGATAACTGGTCATGGGTTTTAAAAGTCACTCAAAGGCAATGAAAAGCACAAAGTCAGCTTTCTCTTCCTTCATCTCATTTCACATGCAGTACAGCTCACAGGTAAGATTATACACACCATTATAAAGACTCCTCGTGCATGGTCCTAATCTTGCTAGAACTCAATTTGAAATTAGATAAAGAAAGATCAAGGTTTTCCTTCTATTCTATTCAAGGGAACTCAGCCTGCACAGTGGCATTTTGTGTAATCTAGGTCATGAGTTAAGGTTAACAACTAACATAAAATGCTTTCAAATGAAGTAAGGCATTTTTTTATAATGATCTTCAAAATATTACTGAGGCTACAGTGTAATGCTGCAACATACTAGAAAGAAGTCTAGACTGTAATCAGTTCAGCTAACAAAAATTTATGTGGTCCTTGTGCCCAAATTACTACCCATGTCTAAGCTTGTTCAGGTACATGCACATTAGCTGCAACAGTGACTGCAGGTTTAAACTCACTCTAAGCATATGATGAAAAATAAAAGTAGGCTCTTACTCCAGCATTTCCAAATTCTCATCCCATATCCATAGCAGTGCTGAGGACACCCAATTCTCAGAATTCATTTAGAATTTGGGTCACTCTGGAATGGCTGGAATATTGGTTAAACCAATTTGAGACAAAGTAGAAGTCACAGAAAACTAGAAATCAGCAGAATTGCATGCAAAAATTAGTAAGTGAAGAAAAAAATCCTGCTGGTGTTCAACAGAAGACACCTTGTATACACGTTTTACAAGGATTAAGTGAAGGAAGAGACTGAAGAAGTGACAAAAGTTACACTTGTGGATTAGTCAGCCAATCTCATACATAAATATAACTTTTAGAATCCCATCAAGTATTCCATGTGACAGCCCAGGAAGTGGTAAAGTAAGAGACTGTGAAGTAGGTTAAAACTTTCCAGATTCACCTACTTGATATGAAATCAATGTTAGTAGAGACAGAATGAGGAAACAGATTGCACTGATGACTGAAATCATAATACCAAGTAAACAGTAGCCTTCAATCTTTGGCAGCTAGAAAGCACTCAATGTTAGGAGCAGAGTAATAGTGAAAGTCTGCCCATTTTACTAATTTTAATTAACACACATGGAAATTGATGAGAAATCTCAAATTCCATTAATGTTAAATTATGTATCAAATCAGCAAAGAACATTCCAAATAGTCCAAAACATTAATCAACACTTTTTCACTACTGTTAACTTGGTAGCAGGATCTAGGCAGCAAAGTAAGGCAAGCATAAACTCAGAGTTATTTTTATGTAGCAATGTTGTTTAACTACGATACTATCCCAGACAGGAAAAGAACTACACAATACCTTTCAAGTTTCAGACCTGGAAAGGAATTATCAGTTTGATGTGATGACCTCCTTCCTACATGAAAACGAAAAATTTAAAAAACCTCTTTAAACTGCTTCTATCTAGAAGTTGTCCTTTAATAGAAAGGATATCATGACTCCTCAGAAGTGTAGCAATTTGACTGTCAGAAGCAAAGAAACAAGTTATAGCAATCTCATAAGATATTTCACATTTCTCTGTAGTTGATTAACCAAAGACTGAAGTAGTCTCAAAACTCCCTTCTGTTAATTTGTATAAGCATTTGTCATTAAATTTTAGGCTTTTACCTTAAAAAAAAAATCATTTTATATATATCTTGCTTTGGATCAAAGCTGGAAATAAATATTATACATGGAAAACTAGTATAAAGACTGGAGTCCTAACATCCTAACAAAGACAATACTGAAAGTGGCCAATCCTGCTGGTATCGTGCAGGCCTCCACAAAATGAATGATCAGGATTTTGAGATACAAACAACAAAACAGCCCAAGCTGAAAAACACACCATGTCTCAAATGGAAATGTTATGTCTGTACTACAATATATAATTTTTTTCTGGTCAGTGGTATATCTCCAGTTTCAGAGAAGTAATGATACAATATCCCGAAGCCAGTTATCCAAAAATGTCTTAATTTTGCTATAATACTGTAGACTTTTTACAATTAACTTAGTTCCTGCAGCTGGAACTCTACACTAGAAAGAAAGTAAGTGCTCTGAAATACTTTCATGTTCTTGTATAACACAAATGAGTAGGAAATAACTAGTCCAGATTTAAAAGTTGGGCTTTTTTGTCTCCTGTTTAAATATGCTGAGTATCTGATGTTTACTCTAAAAGTTGCCCACATTCTCTTTCATGATGGGCCTCTTCTGGTGGACCAGACTGCCTCTGAGGCTTCAAGAAGTACCTGCACTCCCAAAGGAAAAACAACAAAGAATTTGGTTGCATTTGCTCACTGTTTATCACAGTCTGCAGGTTGGCTTTAGTCAGAACATTCTTCCTCCACCTCTTTTACCTTGCATACTTCAGCTTCAGATTGCAAAGAGGACTGAGGAATGCAGCTGAATGTTCGAATGCTCTGTGGATCAACTGGTGGCACCAGTGTGAGTGACTCTACACTAAGTGCATCCGTATTGTCATCTGTTATTAATGATATTGTGGGCTGCTGTGCAGGAATCAGGCTAGGAGAAAGGTTTGCTGTTTCTATGTCACTGTTCTTTACAGCATTCTTGCTAGACTTTGAGACAGCTGAAAGAGTTTCATCAGTCAACATCGTCTGACCAGAAATGGTCATCTGAGGCTGCTCTGGAGCTGAAGCATCATCTAATAAAAGAAAACACCAAGAAAAAAAATAAAAAAATCAGCATTCAACTTACTATGTATATTAAGGATAACAGTATGCTATTATTTACAAATATTTCAGAATAATTGGGTGGGAAATGCAGTTCTGTGAAGCACTATGCTTAGCATTAACTTTTTAGTAATTAGAAATGAAACAAAATATTATGAGGGCACAACATAAAATGGCAGCAGGAATGTGTTCAAATTAGGAACCAGAAAATTTTACACATTTAATATTAGAATATGCAGCAATATCAGAAATATTCCTAGAGGGAGGAAATTGAGGGGAAGAATAAAAAAGCCTCTCCAGTATTTAGTACAGACTAAAATGGATGCCCCATACGAGGAACCAGGAAGCTCTTTAGAAATTAAAAAGCCAAACCCCTATATAACTAGTTTTCCCAAGAAGTGGCTTGTTTCTTACAAAAAATTGGAATCTGGAAAAAAACACATTTAAGTGGCACCTTAACCACAGAAAGCAGAACTATGGAAAAACAGGAAGGAGAATGATGTGCTTACTGTAACTGAAAGATGCTGCAAAACAGGCCTGTTATTATACAGGCTTATGTTATATGACTTTTTTTTTTTTTTGGTGCTCCTAAGCGTGGAGCATACAGCCCAGATGAAATGGGGAATAAGCATTTCTTACCACTGAAAAATGGGACACTACTGCACCTTCCGACACAATGACACCCACCCTCCCCAACTTCAAAAGACCATTAACAACTATTTGTACTGCCCTTTTCCCCCCTTAAAATCCTAGCTAACTCTCAAGTAATTGGCTCAGATGGATAGTGAATGGAGGGGATAAGGCAATGCAGGCTTATCTGTATGCCCAGAAAAGTCAGGGATTTTTTTTTTTTTTTTTTTCAGACTAGAGTAATAGATGCCATTAAAGTTAAGGTATCCAGCTTCAAGACAGATCATTTTTAAAACTCTTGTAAGAAACAGCATGTGTTCAAGTGTACAGGTATCTGCAGAAAAGTCTACAAGGCAATGTAGTGAATACAGAAAATAAAAATTAGGTTCTATTTTTAATATTCAGTGACCTTAAAAATATTTCCATTTCAATTTGATTCCAAATAATCCTGTAAAAGAACAGAAAGCATGAACATAAGGCAGAAACAAAACCAAACAAACAAACAAAGAAGAACAAAGCTGAAAATGGAATGGATAACAGCAAGGTTTCAGTGGGCAATGGTAAGATTACTGGGGTTTTAACCTTTCTGGTAAGATAACCCCAAACAATGATGTATTCTCACTTAAGAAAACCACTCAGTTTTACTTGTTGAATCAGTCCAGAATTTACAGATTGTAAAAAAAGTCTCCTTTTAAATAAAGGAGACATCACTGGTTATTTCTGAAAAACAAGGAGAGATTCAAAGTGACTCTGCGGATTCTTCGTTTTAGTTGTCGTGAAGCTTAAGTGAGAATGTAGCGATAACACAGGAAGTGATGCAAGACTTGCATGGAAAATTAACTGCTAAAACCATGAAGTCTCATTTTTCTGAATTCCAAGATAAATACTAACATTTAAGTATGCACAGAACAGTGTGCCTCTTTGCAGCGATTTTCATTTCTGAAATTATAAAATCTTAAAAGAATATAAAATGTTCTTTTCCAAATTTTTTAAAAATCTTTATTCTAGTATGAATATGCACCAAAATTCAGGATTCAGAAATCTGAGACATTCTGGTAAATTAGCAATCAAATGCATTCTGCTCAGGAATGTTATATACAGCACGTTTCTACTGCAGTCCTACTATTTCACTTCTGACTCTGCAGTTCATTTCCTAATTTCCCCCCTCCCCCCCAAATATTAATACATTTTCTCAATACTTTCATTTACTGAAATTGACAGATGTACATACTCTTTTGTTAGGCTGTACTGTTCCCAAATCCTTTCACACAGGATATCAATTAATGCTAAAGTGACTCCTTTCTTATTGCCACAAAGAAAAAAAGCATTTGAAAAAAGTCCCCATTAAATAAAAAGATAAAAATAAAAATAATTAAAAAAAAAGTCTCTGGAGTCAACAAGTCCAAATTTTCTATCCAAAAAGGCGGAAATAACATTCAGAAAAAAGATGAAAATATCAAAAAATCTAAACATACTCTTGTTCCGTAATTTAGCTGCAGCATTTATACATAATGCAAAATTGGAACTCTTCTATGTTTCCCTCCTGCTTTTACTTACTATCAGTAGAAATTAAGTGTCTTCTACTCTCACTGCTTCTTTAGTCACTGTCCAAGCTTCATTTCTCTTTCTCTGTTACTGTATTTAAGGGTAGCAGTGACAGACTTCTGTGACCCAACATGGCATTACTGCCAAAATAACAAAGTATTTGCAAGTTGCCCCTAGTTCCTGCAGGGGAAGAAAGCAAATACCACTACAAAAAGGGGCAGGGGAGGGAGAGAGGATTTCTAACATTGTCTAGAATAGGTCAACAGCTTTCACTACTATTTCGCAATATACTGTCCCTTCTGATTAATGCTTAACTAGAAATCCTATTCTTCAGTCACAGCTATAAACTACGGCTGTGAGAACTGTACTTCAGCCTTTGCAACCAAGGCCCTTATTTGAGGCTCATACTTAGCTTGAAACTGCACCTATATGCTTCTGCCAGGTCATGATCATCTCTCATATCTTTTGGATACAAGGATGGGGATAAACAACCCTAGTCTACAGATGAAAGAAACTACACAGAAAATAGAATGCAGAGATCCTACATGTTAGGATGAAAATCTCCAATCTAAAATAAGACCACTCTCTTGATGTAAAAAGTTTTCACATGTAACATCTCCCAGTTAATTTAATACATGGCTTCAGGAAAGTAATTAATAATGAGAAAATTTTTGAGGCTCAAAATTTCAAAGCCTTTTGAAGTCATACTCAATTCTGAGAAGGATCCAAGTAGATAAATTTACACTTTGTGAGATCTGAATTCTTAGTCTTTGAAACTGGCATAAACAATTGGCAAAAAGATGTACCGTAGTTGAAACAAAAATTCAAGAAGGGATTATTAAAAGAATGTCTATCAAAACCAGATAGGTATTAAGCTCTTGATTCAAAAGAGTTTCAAGGCATCCAGATACTATACATGAGTATATAAAGTCTCTAAACATATATCATATGTTTAGGATAATTCTGGAATTTCTGCTTATATTGCACATAAAAATACTAACTGGCTTTCAAAAAAAACCAAACTCCTAACACTGGGTTCCAGCCTGACTTTTGGACAAAAAGAGGTAAAATAATTGTAATTTTTACCTGAATAAAATCTCCACTTACTAAAATATGTTCTACTTTTTAAATACCCCAAATTACCACCTAATATGGGAGAACAGCACTTCTATTCACCTCTCCCCAACCCCCATCTATTTAAGCAAAAGTGTTCTGGGAAAAAATAAAAAGCTAGATCTGCAACAAAACCAGGGAAAGTGAAATCAGTTTCTTAAAACAGTTGTGATATGAACATTTAGTTCTAACAAACAACCCCCACCCATCCACAAATTTAAATATCAAACAAGGCTTGAAAAACAGGGTGTCGTTTAGCAAGTTTTTGGGTATTATTAGCTCTCTCTGGTTGCAGTGGCTTCAGCAACCTTATATGGTTTTCAGCACTTCTGTAATGCTACCAATATTACCATTACAGCAAAAAAAAAAAAAAATCCAACCAAAACTCACTCAACTTCTGTTGTATTAACTTATATTAAGGACGATCATTAGTGAAAGAAGACAGAAAAGAACAGGAAAAGGAAAGAATGGATATAATCAACAGAGACATGCCCTAAGCTGTACAGCAACATACTGTGAAAGGATAACAAAAACATAAACAACTGGACATTAGGTGAAAAGATAAAAAGTAAATCTAATAAAGATGAAAAAGGATGTTTATATAATATTAACAGAAGAAATATTTTCATGCCATGATAGGAAAAAAAATTAAATTGGACACAAGTTAAAACGGGTTATACAAATAAGAAGGTAGCCTCAAGTGTATTTCTGTGGTTATTGCATCTGCTTCCCCTCCGCACCTCCTCAGGCAATTAAACAGTCCATAAACCCATCTGCCTGAGTTTGATGATCATAGAAATATTAAGCTTGTGCCACCACAGTCCAAGGACAGTCTTATGCTGAATGCTTGTCCATTTTACCCAAGCTATAGATTTCTTGTTTCTAGCCAAATACCTGCATTACTGTCCATTCAGGAGCCTGTGACTTACTACATTCCACTACAGCCATGGCTGCCCCTGTGCAAATGAAGACATAGCTGCTTTGAAGCTGGAGAATTTCCATCTTTGTCAAGAGAACCAAGAAACATGGGAGAAACTGCAGATAATGCTTTAAGAAACAACTAATTACTGTTTTACAATCCCTGCCCCCCCCCCCCAACCCAGTAGAGACTAAGATTTATGATGCTTTCTTCACTTTCCCCCCTCACCATCATTGGTGTCAGCATGGAAACCAAACATGTTCTATCAACTGTCAATGGCCTTTTGAAAGCTTATGGAGGAACCTGCCTGAATTGATATTGCGTGAGTTTCTGTTGCAGCTGCTGCTTGAAGACCTAAACCCAGTGTCCACCGTGACTGTCAGCCTCCGACAGACTAAACACCCGCCGACGTCCTTTCCTGCCAGACCTTACTAGAGGAAAACACAGCGATATATCATATGAAGGCTTTAACAATGAAACAAGGAAGTGAAACTGGAATGAATACAAAGGATAAATGTTAGAGTAGCAACAAGAATAAGTGACAAGGACACATCCATAACTGCTGGTATCTTGAATACAATTTGACACCACACCAAGAGTCTTATAAGTTTGGGAAATACTTCTGAAGCTGGAATTCTTAATTCTTTAGGAATAAGCGAGTTTACCTTAATTTAATTTTTTGCTTACCTATCTGGAAATGTTCATAAAAGGATGTTTGGGCTGTGTTTCGCAACACCGGCAGTATTTACATCAAGGAAGGACTGGCAGGCACTTATTTGCATTACAATCTACTCACATGCTTTAGAAATCTTTAGAGCAGCTGTTTATTACCAATTCTGGTGACAGAGAATTATTCTGATATCCACTGGCCACAAATTATAAAAGATGCACTACCATGCATGTGGCAATACTACCATTCAGCCCTAATACTCTATGATACGAAACTGAAGTATTAGATTTGGTTTATGTTAGTGTTTTTAAAGATAGCAGCAGTTCAGATGATGATGCTTGGTGCATAGTAAGTTTCTAGAAAAGGAACTTTCTAGAAACAAAAAGTATTTCCTCACCTAGTTAGAAAATCACTAACATCATAGAACAGAGGAGATCAAAACACGTTTACATTACTGATTATAAAGTGAAGAGACAGGGGTGGTTTCAGTAAGATGGCAAGCATTGTTCTTACAGGCTCTCCATGCTTGATTAATCCTCCTCTCCTTGCAACGTATAAATTTTAATTTACTGACTGGAATTGAATATATCCTCTACAACAAGGGACAGCTCTCTGTATTTATTTTAGACCTTTTACCATCAATACCTGCCAGTAGTGTGAAATACAGTGTAAGTAGCGTAGAAGATCAGTGCCTTCTGAAGTCCTCAATATCCACTGCTTCCATGCAAACATTTTCTTAAGTATTGAAGCCAATTGAATTTTAAAGTTTATGACAACATCAAAAGTGATAAAATACAGTGTAGATGACATTACACATACATAATTCTGGAAGACTGCTCACTTACAGTAAGAGAGCTTCTTTATCTTAATCCTTGGCATATATATAAATAAGCACTTTAAAGAAGAGCATGGCTCCAGCCAGTGTAGCCAAGAAGAGCCTGTATTCCAAGCTCAGAAGCTTGATGATTAAAATCTGCCTAGCAAGAGAACATCTTTACCTTATGCATCACAACACTTCAAATGGACATGTTAAATTAAAAAACCAAATATGTAAATACAAAGAAACAAAAACCCAAGCTAATAGCAGCATTTGGAGAATCTGATACTGCCTTTTCTGTCTTGCTAGGGCTTCTGCTATCTCTAAGGGACGACTTCTGCTTTCTCAGTATTAAGGAATGGAGATCTTGTAAAGGACTCAGCTTAATTCCCAAATACTGCAAACAGGGGAGCTGCTAGGCTTTAAATTATCTGTGCCAGGAAGTATTGTGACAATTAGCAGGTAGGATAGCTGATAAACTCAGGAATCATAACAGCTTTTTTTTACCCATGACAATGTTGTTAATGCCACAACTGTTCTCTTACAATGACTGAAACATGCACAGCAGTCATGTAATTTTATGTAAACTCAGTTAAACTCCCTCCTCACATTAAAATACTGTGTGACTGATGCAGGCAGGAGTGATAGCAAGCAAAGGATTTCTACAGAACACAAAATAATTTCTGTGAAACATTTTTGAAACCTTTTTTGATGTTGAACTATTAATATATACTCTATCTTAGAACACTTTTCTCTCAACTAACCATTATGCAATTTTTCTGTATTTTGTTCTCATTTATCAGCTTTAAATAAAAGTCAGTGGGTATGTTCCAAATCTTATTTCCTGAACAACTTTGTGAAGATTACAAGTACCATCTCAGATGTATCAATCTCCAAACTTTTTAAATCTGTCAGCAGACAGTAGCTTAGGACACTAAACACAAGCGTACAGGAGAAACAGCTGTTGTAGTTTAGGATGTTGCTCTGAAGGAAGGTAGCTGAGGGAGTTTCCTGGAAGTGCACATACACCTCTCTCCTTTACCTTGTCTGGCATTCTTGACTGAAGTTTCTGAGTAATCTAGCAGGTTCTTCATGGTGAACAACCTGAGCAGTTGCCAGAACAAACATGGGAGCATGGAAGGAAGGAGGGATAGAGAGCACATATGTGTGCTCACGTGAGTGTGTTTAAAATGGAATGGGAAATAAGAAGGGAGATTCAAATGCAACATTCAAGTGCTACCTTGGAGCATAAAACACATCTAGGTAACTGCTGTTAACCAGCTACCTGTTAGTTTCTCTTTGAAGGAGCCACCTCACATCATGCAAGCCTCCTCTTCTGCTTCACAGCAAAGTAAGGAAGTTTATTTTCAATTGTCCTCAACAGGTTAAGGGAAAACCACATTGTTTTCCATTCAAGTGGGTGAATACCAAACAACTGTTTCCCCAAATCAGTGAGTGGTCGGTAAAACCTGATACAACACAGACAGTGGTCAAGCCACTATTTTTTCTTTCAGCAGTGTACTTCTGTCCACACAAAAGCCTATGGATCAGCAGTCTGGACATACCAAACAGATAATCTCTTTCTTGGTTATGCTCCTGGCAACAGTTCCCAGTATAGACCACAATTACATATAAACACTGTAAATATTACAAACTTGCAGTGAAGTGGTCAAATCAGTTCATGCAGAAGCACTGCTCCCAGGAACTGACAAAAGAATTAATCTGACACTGAAGATCAGCAAAAAGTGTCAACAAAGCTTCCTGGGTTGGAGAAAATCCTCCCTCCACCCCGCAAAGACCCAGCTGCAGGGATCTCAACACCTTCTCTAGTCCATACTAAGGACCTTGAGACACAGTTAACCAACCACTCAGCTGTAACTACTTAAAACATTACTTGTCCATCACTGGCTGCAGTTACATTAGTAATTTGGTACTAAGCAACAGAGTAACTTTGAAGAATTATGTACACTTACTGCTTTAGTTTGATTTTGGGAACAGTTTCTGTGCATTCACAAGGAAACCAAACTATAAGATATGTTGCAACTGTGCACCAAATACACTTCAAATCTGAACAGCAACATACATCTGACCTAATAACTAGTCCTTCAGACAATCACATACATGGCAATGATGCAGGGTCCTAAAGGGTAGAGTAAATATGGTCCACAACAAAATTTGTAAACTACAGGCAGATCAGGTACATGCACCTCAGTACCAACTGTCCATCATTCAGTTGCACCGAATTACCTGCTCATGCACATACAGTCACTGTCTTCCTCTTTGTTACTGCTCTCCAAGTAGTTAGCAGTAAAAAAAACAGGAGCTGAGCTCAGAAGTCATCCCTGCAGCAGCCTAATGTAAGCTGCTGACCTGGGACTTAAGTAGCTGATGCGCATTTTCACATTCATTTCCATGGACTTTGCTCATAGTGGTAGGGGACAGAATTGTATTTTCCAACTACATTTGCTAAATCATCTACATCACTGCACCTAGGTCCTGTGCAAAACACCAAAACTCACCTAAAGACTGTTTTCCTGCCTGTCGTGGCATTTTGAACATACTTTATGATTAAGCCACAGATCATACTAAATGTGGACAGTTCATGCAACCTAACTGGTAATGCGCAGACTGAAACCAGGCATTTAAAAAACCCAACCTTCCTCTCTTTTTTGGTTGGTGGGGTTTTTTTTTGTTTGGGTTTTTTTGGGGGTTTTGTTTTTTTCTGTGTGTATGTGTTTTGGTTTTTTTTGTGTGTGTTTTTTTAGGTTTTTGGGGGGCTAGGGAGAGAATTTACTTGTTTGGTTTTTTTTCTGAAAACAATAAGCAGCCTCCTGCCAGCAAGCTTTTTAAATTCCAGGAAACAAACAGAACTTTATGTTATACAGATGCCAACATATTGTGTAAGTGGATTTTAACTATAGTCTCTGGTTATAAGGCACTATGTTTTTCTGCTAGATAAGCAATTATGTGCTCTGGATGTACTCAGTTTGAAACATGGCGTATGGCCTTGCTGCATATTTCTTTGAACTAATATGTTGCTTCTGGCAACAAAAATAACTTACATTTTTAATTTTCATTTCCTTTACCCCAGTTTTCTGTCATCACTGCTGCCAAGAACTTGCAGCTGCATTTCGCTTCCTCATCATAGAGGATGCAAATAACCATGGCCATCATAAATTAGACTTTTTACACAGCAAAGGAGAAAGATGCCATCAAACAAATGATTTGTTGTGGTGCAAACCTATACTGAGACTTTTGACAAAAAGTACCACTTCTCTGGGTAAACACATATTATCTAGGCCATCAAGAGACTGGGTAACAGCAGTCACCTACCAACAGAGAAAATAAAATTAGGTCCTTCCAAATTTTTGAATAGACTGCACATAGAAAAATATTCCAAATTGTGTTCTTGAATTACACATGTTGCAGGAATATTTTGACTATATGTCTCTTACAGCAATAGATTTGTTTTAATCTAGATTCTGAGTGCTAGAATGCTTTGCATATCATTCATAAACTTCCTAAGTAAGCTTTCTTACCCTTTCCAGCAACATTTTTTGCAGGGATGGTCACTTTGAAAATAAAATGTACATTGATCTCCTGATGCTGTTCAATGAAATCCACAATATGCTAAATGCCCAACAAAGATTGCACAATTCCCTGTAGAACTGCAATAAAGCTTACATCTACATGAGCTTTCCAATAAAGGCAAAATGTATGTCTTAGAAGGGGGAACCAGAGCAACAATTCCAAGGAGTGATTAACATTGGAAGTGACTGTTAAACGAGGGGTCTGTTTTAAAAGGTCTTGAGAATCAAGCTACCTCTATTGCCTTATAACTAAAGAGAGGTAGAGTAGGCCTGTTCCAGCATGAAAGCACTTTGGTATGTATCCTTCAGGAGTTACTTCTTGTTTAGTCTCCAGCTTGAGGCTTTACCTCACACGTAATTGGCACTTAGAACAACCACCATTACAAACTCTCTATAAATGCTACACAAAAAAACGGAGGAATGAAGGCATTCTAACGCAACAAGAAGTCCCAGTATAAACATACTCACTAAATATACTGAGCACACAAACACATGGTAGTAGCTACATTAATGAAAGTTACACTGTCAGTATACTTAATATGGCAGCTGCTTCTGCACCAGTGAAACAGCCTCTTCAAATGTGGTGGCTCCAACCAGAAGAGTGTTATTGCAAAAGCTTTACATTAGCATCCTAAATAACTGTTCTCAAGTATTTCATGTTTGAGCCATTGTTACAAATCAACATGAGTATCAGATAAACATAGAAGCAAATGTCACCCAGTTCAAAAAAGATGCTTCATGGGGAATTCATTCAACCTAGCCACTGTGGTGAAAGTCTAACAGTATACATTACAAATTCATGCAAAGCAATACTTCAGTTTAAAAACAACCTTTTAAGTTGTATGTGCTAGGAGACAAGTCAGACAAGCAGGACATTATTTCACCAGTACTTAAAATCACTGCTGAAAGATGCCAAGTATTTATTAGTGCTCCAGAAGGCTCCACAATTTACAATAACTGGTTTAGTTGAATGATCACATGATCTGAAACCATAAAGCCCTACAGTTTTTAATCTAGTAATACACTAACTTAATTTTACAGTATCCTATAGATTTATCCTATATCCCTTAATGTGTCTAAGCTGAAAATCACGATTTAATACCTGATGGGCTCTGTGCAGCAGAAGGGGTGGACGTTGAACTTGCAGCCAATGAATCACAGCGCCCTGTACTCCCACTGCCACTGGAAGGTGATGGTGATGAGAGTGGTGATGGATTGTGCTGATTTATACACTGGGCTACAGCAAAACCTGCAAAATAGGACAATGAAGTTTATGAGTTAATAATTAGCTTGAAAAAGCTAACCCACATGAACAAACTGAGAAAGGGGAAGTGCAAATATTGCATCAGAGTGGTGCTAAATTGACTTCTTATCGGCAGCCCCCTGAATTATTGAAAGTAGCCACAATATGCACTGTGAAACACCTAACAATGTACTACTCATTGCCTTCAACTGCATAGTAAACACTGAAGAGGAAAACATCTGACAATCAGGTATGAAAGCAAATGCACCATTGCACATTTCTTTATTCTTTTATATGGGAAATCTCCCATGGCGCTGGATTCATTCAGAGGATATCCTATATGGGGAATTTGCTGGTGTCATGCAGCAGGCAGACAGTCAAAACCTGGCAAGAAGGGTCAAGGACAGCAAAAAGAGCTTTTTCAAGTACATGGCAGACAAAACTAACACCAGAGGCAATGTAGGCCCACTGATGAACGGGATGGGTGCCCTGGTGACAGAAGATGCAGAGATGGCAGAGTTACTGAATGCCTTCTTTGCCTCTGTCTACTCTGCTGCAGGCAGTCCTGAAGAGCCCTATACCCCTGAGACCTTAGATGAAGTCAGGTCGACGGAGCGACTTGCCTTAGTCGATGAGGAATGGGTTAGAGATCAGTTGAGCAATCTGGACGTCCATAAATCCATGGGTCCAGATGGGATGCACCCGCGGGTGCTGAGGGAACTAGCGGAAGTCATTGCTAGACCACTCGTCATCATCTTTACCAAGTCCTGGGAAACGGGAGAGGTGCCTGAGGACTGGAGGAAGGCAAATGTCACTCCAGTCTTCAAAAAGGGCAAGAAGGAGGACCCGGGTAACTATAGACCGGTCAGCCTCACCTCCATCCCTGGGAAAGTGATGGAACACCTTGTCCTTGGTGCCATCTTAAAGCATATCAAGGATAAGAGGGTTATGAGGGGCAGTCAACATGGCTTCACCAGGGGGAAATCATGTTTGACCAATCTCTTAGCCTTTTATGAGGAAATAACACGGTGGATGGATGATGGCAGAGCGGTGGATGTGGTCTACCTTGACTTCAGCAAAGCCTTTGACACAGTCTCCCACAGCATCCTCACGGCTAAATTGAGGAAGTGTGGACTGGATGACCAGGTAGTGAGGTGGACTGTGAACTGGCTGAAGGAGAGAAGCCAGAGAGTTGTAGTCTATGGGGCTGAGTCTAGTTGGAGGCCTGTAACTAGTGGAGTGCCTCAAGGGTCAGTACTGGGACCGGTATTATTTAATATATTCATCAATGATTTAGATGAGGGAATTGAGTGTACTATCAGCAAGTTTGCTGATGACACTAAGCTGGGAGGAGTGGCTGACACGCCAGAAGGCTGTGCTGCCATCCAGCGAGACCTGGACAGGCTGGAGAGTTGGGCAGGGAATAACGGGATGAAATATAACAAGGGAAAGTGTAGAGTCCTGCATCTGGGCAGGAACAACCCCAGGTTCCAGTATAGGTTGGGGAACGACCTGCTAGAGAGCAGTGTAGGGGAGAGGGACCTGGGGGTCCTAGTGGACGACAGGATGACCATGAGCCAACACTGTGCCCTTGTGGCTAAGAAGGCCAATGGCATCCTGGGATGTATTAGAAGGGCGGTGGTTAGTAGGTCAAGAGAGGTCCTCCTTCCCCTCTACTCTGCCCTGGTGAGACCCCATCTGGAATATTGTGTCCAGTTCTGGGCCCCTCAGTTCAAGAAGGACAGGGAGCTGCTGGAGAGAGTCCAGCGCAGGGCAACCAAGATGATTAAGGGAGTGGAGCATCTCCCTTATGAGGAAAGACTGAGGGAGCTGGGTCTTTATAGTTTAGAGAAGAGGAGACTGAGGGGTGACCTTATAAGTGTCTATAAATATATAAAGGGGGAGTGTCACGAGGATGGAGCCAGGCTCTACTCAGTGGCAAACAATGATAGGACAAGGGGTAATGGGTGCAAACTGGAACACAAGAGGTTCCACTTAAACTTGAGAAGGAACTTCTTCTCAGTGAGGGTGACGGAACACTGGAACAGGCTGCCCAGGGAGGTTGTGGAGTCTCCTTCCCTGGAGACATTCAAAGCCCGCCTGGACACATTCCTGTGTAACGTTATCTAGGTGTTCCTGCTCTGGCAGGGGGATTGGACTAGATGATCTTTTGAGGTCCCTTCCAATCTCCAGCATACTGTGTGATACTGTGATATGGGAAATCTCCCATGGCGCTGGATTCATTCAGAGGATATCCTATATGGGGAATTTGCTGGTGTCATGCAGCAGGCAGACAGTCAAAACAATTTAAATGGACTCATTACAAGAAGCATATGAAAGCCTTAACACACAGACATGACATGTCAGGAAAATGCTGTTAGCAGCAACACACACTGATAGGTTCTGTTGCGCAGAAAAAAAAACAGAATGGATGAAAAAAGGAAGAAACAAAAGCTAACAAACATCAGACCAGTTAACAACCTGACCTAATCTGCAGTCTCACTTCTTACCTTCTACTTCCCATCCTTATACACAAGAACTAGACTCAAAACCACTTGCAGAAACACAATGCCATCTGAATAGCTGTAGTACTTGCATCAGTTTTAGATGGGCAAATGCCACTTTTATCAAGCTTTTCTCTTATTTGAAGTTACAATTCATTATGTCCAAAATGAACACCACTTGAAAGCATTAAATAACCACCACTGCAAGAGACACCTATTTTATTTAAAAATAAAACAGTTTGTGAAGCAGCTAATTACTTCGTGTTAATAAACCCATGTATTTTATTTCAGAAACCCAACTGATTGATCTTCTACAACCATTTAGATAAGTTAAACTGAGGTCACATACAGTGACGCCTGATAGTCTGCAAAAATTTAACCACAAACTAAACTACCTCAAATATGAAAGACTTCTATAGCTCTCAGGGCCACTGATACATATAGTTTTTAATACAGCAAACATGCATTAGGCTTCTCATACATACTTCATATTTTGAAATACCAGTTAGGATGGGAAACAAGGAATAATCAATGGACTTGTGACCATAGAAGTGAGGCAAAGATATCTCTTAAAGTGAATGAAAGGTGGTTTGGAACAGTTACTAAAGCCACTGGTATAGGAGTTTTTACATCAATCTATTTTGTTTCCCTTATAGTCCTGGAAAAAGCTGTACCCATCCAAAGCACTCTATATCCACAAATGGTTTGCACTTCCAAGGGAGGATAAACCTTCCAACCTCATCAAAATGGTAGAAGAAATAAACAAGGGTTAATCTGTCTATCCTGTGAAATGCTGCTCGGATTCAGGAGGATTGTCTGCCTAAAGACTTTGCAGAACAGTGCTCACAGACTCATGTTCTTACATCGAAACATTTGCTTCCACATAACTGTAAATAGTAGCCCTGCTTATTTAACTCAGTTTCAATGTTATCTTTCATTTCTTCCACACAAGCAAGTAATATTACAAGTAGTAATATTACATAAAGCAAATTAGTTGTAGCTTGTATAGTCTTAGTGTTGTCAAACTACCTGAAACAGGCACTTCTGCTTGAATACTTCTCCACAGAAGTAATTAGTTCTACATCATTCAGACCATGACAGGAAAATTACCATGTATCTTATAAAATTCTGATGACTAGGCAATACAAACACATATAAAAAGGCAGCAGAGTTAGGTCTTTAAAAGTAGCTGCCATAACTAAATAGCTAACTAAATATAAAAATCAATGGTTCAAAGAATATTAATTAAAAAAAACAACAAAATGAGGTGACAAACTGACTTAGCAGTTGTCTTCCATTATTCTTGCACAGAACAAATGATTAAAAAAATACTTTATGTATATTTATGGGCTGTAAAAGCAACTGTATCCTAGAATTATGGAGAATGGGATACTTGAACTACTTCACACTGGAAGTAACTCAGTAGTACTTAACTAAACTATTCCAATCTGACCTTCCTCCAGTAGGTGTGCTTGATGATGAACATGAAAGGATTGGTAAGAGTCCCACAGTGCAGTTCCAAAATAACTTGTAAGACATTCAAACGTGCTGAGCAATCTAACCTCATAAAATCAGTAACAAGAGTAGATGCTCATCAGCTGAGAATGCCAAGCTCCTCATTAGTACTTTGATCAAAAGCATCTGTTTTCTTACTGTTGATGAAGGCCGCAATAAATTACAAAAGCCTGACTATTTCAAGAATACATACACAGTATTAGTTAAAAACCCCACAAATTAAGATCTACGAATTTATACCAGCCTGTGGTGAACTGCTAAAGAAAGGCACACCATTTTTTTTAAGTGTGTAATATGCTTTTAGAATTAAAAATATTTGACAACACTAAAATAAACTTTCTTCACATAAATTTGAACAATCTCAAGCACTGTTTAAACAATTCTTGGGCTTTGTTTAAAGCCTTCCTATTCCCAAGAAGGGATGAAAAAGTTACATAGAATTCTTGCCTACGTTTTCTTTTTCATTTAAAGGGCTACATAGCTATAGAAGATGACTTTTTCCTTTGGATTTTAAAATTAGGATGGCCATACTGTGCTTGCAGACTGACACTAACAAGAAGTAGCTTTCCAACTCTTCCCCCAAAAATTTTCCCATCATCATCATCTAGTAAGGTATTAAAAATGAAGAAAAAACTAAGAGAGATCTATTGATTCATTTTGCTTTCAAAAATAAATTTTCTCAGCAGGGAAGTGACCTCACTTGTTAAAATATGCAGATGTAGATTTTGCAGGAAATCAACAAGATTACCCTTCAGACATACCAGGTTTCTGCGCGTGTGTATGTGTGTGTGTGTATATATATATATATATATATGTATGTATGTATGTATGTATGTATGTATCTGTAACAGCTTTGATGTGAACCTAGTATTTGAGTTTGCTTGGAGAGGAAGTGATGATTTCTCTCAATATAAGACCTATGTTCACAGGACATCTACCAAATCCGCTTGTTTCTTTGAAAATGGTGTAATTCTTTATAAAGAGAGCTTCAAGAGCACCATTTACATAGCTAACAAGATGATGAGCAGCCCAGCCAGCAAAACGATTCCTAAAATGCTCTAACATCCTGGCAAAGTCCATTAACCTAAACCAGATCCTGAACTATATTCATGGTAATGACTTCAAGGTGATAAAATCCATCAAGATAAGGATTTTTCCTTCTGCTCTCCTCTGATCAGAACTGCCCAGTCTCTCAAGCCAGTCATCTGGGATGGTTACATCATCTCACTGCATTTGCTTAACCCATACTTTTTGTAAGGAGTATTAGCATGTTCTGAATTGGGATGTTCTTAAGTATGGTCCATTATATTCTTGCCACCTTCACTCACCTTGCACAAAATCTGGTTTTAAGCTATAACAACTTCCACTCTCTTCTTCCAAGGTATCAAGAAGCACTTTCAAACCAGATTTTAACTTTGGACCACGAAACAACAAAGCAAAGTGAAACACAGGTTGACTACAGTAAGATAACTACATGCTCTCTAGTGATATATGTGGAGCTTTACGTATGCACTACAACAGAGACTGAGGCAGACCAGGCTGAACTAAAAGTTCTTGAAAACTCTACATTCAATGAGAAGACGAATTAGCAAACTGATTCAACAGTTGTACTAAAATTCTCCACAGAGTGAAATTTGCAGGAGGGGTGAAAACGTTTATATCACTGTCAGTTTCTTAAAACCTACCCTGGATGTACAGCCGACATGGTCCTACTAAGGAAAGTGATTCATCTTCTAAAAATATTGCCAAAACAATGGCTCTCCCTTAAATCGGCAAAACCCACCATCATCAAAGGAAAGCATAACTTGCTGCTTACAAGTATAATCAAATTAACAGACCATGTGACATTCGCAGAACTCTCAAGCATCACTTAAAGCTGTAGCATTAAGAAATGAATACACAAAGGTAGTAACTACAACTTGTTCAATAATTTTTTTAAAAGGAGCAAAATTACTCTCAAAGTGAAAACCACTCCAAGCCTGATTAAAGGATAAACACAAAGAGATTCCTGTTTAAGTCACTTGGAACTAGGAAACCTCATACACTCATTAGTGAAGAAAAGGGGAGAAGGAAGAGGCCTTTGATATTCATTTTGTAACCAGATGTAAAATAGTGTAGCAATCCAGTTTTATTATACTATTGGCTGTCATAAAATGCATTTCAAAACCACAGCATTTGAAATACTTGATGTTCTGTGCTCGGTTAGTATCAAATAAAACTTCAAAATACTTTTTCCTCCTGAATTGCATGTGCATACAGTGGAAGTTTCCATTTCCTGGAATTCAAAGTAACTATGTGGTTGGTTGAAAAAACTACCTTTAACACCAATTCCAAGCTGATGCTCTGTGCTAATGCTCAGGCTAAGTAGCTGTGGCTCTTTTCTGCTTTGCTACCTCTAAGGTAAATGAAGCAGCGCACAGTATCCCAGCTACTTTCCAAACTGGCAAGAAAATGATCATAACCAAATTAAACGAGGAACTATGCACAACTGACAGACATTGCATAAATACCAAGTATGTGGAACAATTCAAACTAACTCAATTTGTAAAGGAAGGCAACGCATTAAGACACTTCCAGTGTAGTTGGACAAACTGCCAAAGATACTGCTTGTACCATACCTGGACTTCACACCCAGGTATTACTTGTTTCTCCAAGAGTAACTTTTTCCATAAGTCTTATCCTGGAGCTGTGTGTTCAGAAACCTATCACAGTAAGCTTTCCATTGCTCATACAAGTTACAGTTCAGATGTTGCAGATTCAAATCACAAAGCAGAAATTGCTTGTTAAGGAATGCTAATCTTACCTGGAACTTTGTCAACAGATGCAAAAACAGAGCGTTGCACTGTAGGATCACTGCTACCACGCCGTGACTGATCATAAAATCTAAATGGAAGGTGTTGGGCTGTAGCAGAAGAGCTGTGTCCAAAACCCATAATTTCAGTTGAAGGCTGAACAGGAAGATCCAGCAGAACTATGTTTAATCACAATTGATAATTTTTGTTACTCAAAAATACATAAAAGGAAGAGTAGGTGAAAATAAAATTGATAGTTTTCTCAGAATCTTGAGAATGATCCCTATTGTTTGACATAACTTGCCTGCATTTACCTCTTAATTATGGTTACAACTGCATCAGAAAAAGAAGAGACACTGCATTTATGGCAACCTTTCCTACCACTGCTGTCTACACATTCACGCTAAGGAAGCCTCAGAACACAGTGGAGGAGGAAAAAAGGATTAAAGTAAGCTCCTTGCATGAAGTAAGCCACTGAAATTATTTAAAAGATAAAAAAGAAATCTTCTGGTTTTCACTGTACAAATAGTCACTCATTAGTTACAACTGAACACTGCAGAAACTCATGTAAAAAGACAATCTGTCAACTGGCAAAAAAAAAAAAACAAAAAAAACTTTTCCATTACCACTTTACCACTCAACCTGAAATTTTAGTATCAAAATAGACCTGTATTAACCGCAAACTTGCTTTACACTTTTTTACATGAAGCAAGCCATATAGGTATGACATATCTATTCTGTAAAACACTCTTATATTTAGCTTCCTACACAATCATAAGACACTAAAATGATCTTAAACCTTCTATACTCAGAAAAATTCTCTGTCCAACTCAGTAATTTTAATACCAGCTATGACTGTGTTTTTCACAGCTCTGATTAGTTCATTACTGCTACTGGACAATCCAAGCAACTTAGGCAGCTGGTGTCCCTTTTCGTTTGCCCAGCTATTTTCCCTCCTGTATTTCAGAGCTCCCTCTTCTAAACTCTCCAATACATTCAGTTTACTGGTAAGCTTCAATTTATTCTTCAGTCACTTAATATTAGGCTAGTATTTTAATCACTCATTGCTATTTACTCAGATTAATTCTTTCCTTCATATCTTTGCATGCATTTCCTTCACTCACAGAAATATAGCTGCTGACTCAACATTTAGGATTGCTCATTCAAGCATTAAACATTACGATAACGCCACTGGGACACCATCCATCTCAGGACTCAGGCAAGCTGAGTTCCAATTTAGTCCTAAGGCAATAGAACATCTGCTTTTTAAGTAGAGCATTTGAAATTTGAATCACTGAATGACATTTAAAGAGAAATGCTGAGTTTTGGGAGAAGACTGGCAGCTAGTGGCAACAAAACAGGACTCCTTTTTCGTCCTTCCTTTGACACATCTATCATTAAACGTGAAAACACATTTTACTCCAATAAAATCTGTTGCTTGGCAACTAGACATTGGTTTACAGTTTTCTGTGGCACACCACTACTTAGATTTTTCTAACACATGCTTGTGTTACAAAGTGATTTGCTATGACATCCAAGTCTTGTTTCTCAGAATCATTTTGAACTAACGGCTCACCTGCTATCCTCTGCATTTTCATACGGCGAGCTTGGATACGGCCTTTTGCAAGCCGCTGCTTTGCAATAATGCAGCGGATGTGATCCGAAAAAATAAATGTAGCCTGAAGGATAGGGAAGGGCTTAGAATGAGGACTTGAGGCAGGCTTATGAATTATGATGTTCAGAGCTCTACTGTCATCCTCCACTCCTGTCACTTGCATATCCTAAAAAGAAACAGAACGCAAGTTGCTAATAAAAAAGTTTGCATTTTAGAACTATGAATACCAACATTAAAAGAAAACCCTATGAATGGTTCACTAAAGCACCTAGGAACAGTTTCTGTGTTAAGAAAAAGGACTACACAAGTTGTACAGTGTTGAACTTAGCTCGTCAGAAATTAGTACTTAAAGAGATTGTCAGTTTAAAATTCAATTGAGCTATTTGGGCATACCAAGTTTTAAGGAAATACAGTGTTGGCTAAGGCAAGAAAGATACAAATGAGGGAAACTTCTTAAAGCTTTCAAAATAAATTAGAAAAGCACAGATGATTTTGAAGTTACAACCTGTCGTCTTCCCTATCTGTGTAGTAAGACCAGAACTCTGGGAGAGTTCATTATTGTGCTGCTTTGGGACTCAATCCTAATTGTATATGATTCCAGTGTTCAAATGAACACAGCCCAATATATACTGGGGAAGTTAAGTTACCTTATTTTCAAGTTTGTCTTTAGTTAGCTATGTAAACTTCCTCACAAAATCGGAAATAGTTTAAAAGACAAAACCTAAAAAAAAAGACTAGTAACAGAAAAAACAAGTAAGCATGGTACAGAGCTAAAATATATAAGCTAATATTGGCATTACTATTTAGCACAAATGTAGATTTTCAGCCGAGAAAAAGTAACCACCCATATTAGAACTCCTCTTACCTGCAAAAGGCCTGCAAACTTAACAACACCCCATCCAAGTCTGGCAACATCTGGCTCAACCAAGCTCATCTGGTATATATCCACAGCCAGGAACCTTTGAACTTGACCCCCATCCTTTGTTATGACTGTACAAGCAATTAGATCACTGTTATCTGAAGGAAGAAAAAAGAATCCCATAACTTAGCTACTTAAGTTAAGAATTCTGGGGTTTGGTTGTTTTACATAACATAATTTAAATGTATAAAAGTGCAATCATCTTTATAACACACATTTGAAGTTATTCAAGGCTATTTTTTAAAATAAATACTTTGCATTTCCCTACCATATTTCTAGTTATGCAGAAAGGCCAGAATACATTTCAATAGTAGTGGTTGAGGCACCTTACAAGTTATGTATCAGATGTGTATTATAAGTACCTTGCTTTCTCTTACCACCTTCATTACCTTTTAGTATAAAAGGTCACTTCATTTTAGAGGTGAAATTGCAACAGTGTTGATTTCTCTCACTAAGTTAGTCTCAAAGTCTTGTCCAAAGACTGGAGATACCCTCCGTGTAGGAGGCACGGCAGCACTGCAGGCAACTGCCTGTACATCAGTGTAAGCTTCACCTCCATTCTGACACAAGCTCCAATTCTACAGGTTTAAAATCTGACTTTCTGACTGTTGGAAGCCTTTCAGCTTCAAGACTGTAAGGATGCTCCAGATTAACTGAATGAGGATTTTGCCAGTATTTGTTAAGTGAGGTGACATTTTTTTCCTTTACCCGACCAACTTTATTAATTTATACTGAATAAACATACCCTCTCTTAATCATTAATTCTAGCACCCCTCAAACAAGCCCCAACATACAGATTTCGAGCTTTAAATACACCATTCCCTGATTCTCCTGCATCTCCTCAATGCACCTGTCCCAGTTCAAACCATCAATCTTGAAAATCTAAATCACATTCTTTACATCAGAGTATACTAAGTTGCCCATAAACTGGAACTGACACTTCACAGCAGACCTCATCTTAGCTTTTTCCTTTACTTCAAATTGATATGTTCGTTCACATGCTTAATACACACAGATCTTTGTCCTCTTATGTAGTGCAACTTTACAGCAAGTACAAGATTCTATGACCACACTTACTGTCCTTCAGAGTCCATCATCTTTGCAATGCTAGATAGCATTCCACATAATCTGATAGGTTTACCCAGATAATTTGCAGCATTTTAACTATTTGCTGAAGTAATTTTGATTGAGTTTTGTGGTGGTTTGTTGTTTGTTGTTTTTTTTTAGGACAGAAACCGTAGGACTTGAAAGCAATAAGTTCTATATTTTGCTTCTACCTTAGCCAGTTTTTCCACACACTCCTCCTTAGCACTCACTCCTTAGTACTGCTAAGGCATCAACAGACTCAGAAGTTTAGAGTCACTTACTCAAACAGCCTTTCTTAAATGAGGGCTCAATACTATAGGCATCAATTGCTGTTAAGCTGTATAATGCTATTTACCCCTTCCTATTCCACAGACACATAGTATTTTTCAGGATGCTGTATTTTTTACATATGTCTATATACTGACATCAGTTTGATAAACAAGGTAGTCTTCAGTAAAGTAAGTATCTTTTAAAAAGGCTGCCTTCTTATTCAGATTTTTTATATCTATCTGAAGGGAGCTATTCTGACAGAAGGAATTCAACATATCTCTAATACTGAAGTACCTCTAATGCTATCTCCATACTGAATGTTAAGCGCTCTTGCATTCAAAACCCAGCTGTAGCAGTAGTTAACTCTGTATTTCATACTAGACACATCTGTGGGATAGATCCAAGCTACAAGTGGAAGCATACAGTTTTTTGCAGTGGCAGGTCATACAACTACTGACAACAGCCATAAATTATGGTTTGGAAGATGGAGGAAATTCTTTTGTGCACAATACAGCTCAGAAGGTTACCCAGAAAGGTTGTGGAATTTCTATCACCAAAAGTTTTCAAGTTTCAAAAGAATAAAAGAAATATTACTCACAAAACCAACCTCCCCTTCTCCGTAAGAGACCCCTCTCACACCACAACTGAGAAGTCTCTTCCAACTAACACTTCTATTATTCTACCAATTTCCCTTTATCACCAGGATCCATTCAAAATTGACTGGGTAATAGGAGAGAAAAGAAGGAGATATGGAACCCTAATACGCTTAGAAGAAGATAGTTGATGCTAATCCAATGTGAGTTTAGTGTGAGCTTTTGAAATTCAAGAAAAGTTTAATTAATAAATACAACACTGCTACTTTTCTGCAATACGTATGGGATACAATTCAGTTACATGAGGATTGATTACTGTTACCTACTCAGATGCCCTGGAAAGCTCAAGAAATCCATAAAGGTTTAGTAAACTTGACTCTTGGAGCCTATGGGAGCTTTATGACTTTGCAGAGAAGAAGCAGAGACACCAGGAAGAAAATAATAAGAGATCTAAAATCGCAATGTAGGCTATATGTTGAGAAAACAGAATCTTACTCCAATATTATTGTGTCAATGATATTCTATTAATCGAACAATAAAAGATAACAATGCATATTAAATGCATCAAAAGCTCTAAGTTTATGATCCTGAAGTGTATCTGTATTTGTATATATTTTATACTTACACATCCAGAAGTGGTAACAGAGGTACAAATCTAACACATCCCTCCAGAAATTACTTTCTAATACCTAAATTATTTCACCTTTTCATTAATAACTGAAAAGCCTGAAGTTATTATAAAGGTTTCTAAGTCATGGTAAAACAAGAATAATGCAAGTGCCATTTATTCTGTACTGGCCTGTGAATTTAGGCATAAAACACTCAAACATATTTGATTGTATTCCCAGCTTTTTTTTTTTTAAAGCAAAAACCTTAATAATTCAACTAACTCATTTAAAGAATTCCCAGGAGGAAGATTTTAATAAATACATAAATAGTACAAATGGGTAAGAAATTCAATGCAGGGCCAAGTCTAATAGACAAAAGCTACAAGTGGCAGTAGTTCCATGGTGAAAATAAGTGACTAATGAACCTACACAACTGATAGCCTGCCCCTTCACAAGACAAAGTTTCTAATGAAGAACAAACATTTTTCTAGGAATACATTTTGGGTCAAACAGAACTAGCTCCCCAGAAGTCATACGTAATGTACACAATGTTTTTTTCCAAGCCATAGAAACCAGGAAAACACAAGAGAATCCTTATAAATATAGCTGTTAACTGAGAAGAAATTAATTCTCAAACAGTTGGTATGACTAAAAAAGGATGGGCTTATTATGGCCTATCCTCCACACTGCATGAGCTCTTATAGCCAATATCTTTTCTGAGGCAATCTCAGTAACAAAGTATGAGTAACAAAGTCTTATAAGTCTTAATGAGCCCTTAAGGCTTTTCACAGCTGTATTTCAAAACAGGACTCTGGAACATGTCTGGTTACTGCTTATCTTGGGACCCTTCATTTATTGTTCCTTTCGTTCTTTAATCCAATTAGTTCATCAACACATTTATTTCCATCGATACAAGTTTGTGGAACAGCCATATTCTTCTCTAGACCTGAAGAAGCTGGATTTTGACACCTCCAAATAAGTAATGTGAGGTTTCTGAAATCTGTGGATAATTTATTGTGAGATTCTCAACATAGAGACCACAACACCCAATACAGTCATGAAGTTCTCAAATACTGGTTCTGTCTAGTATTTATACAGTTTTTAGTGCAACTGCAAGCAGATTAATGTACTTGAAATAACCCCTGTACATATTCAACTGCCGGACTACAGAAATGCAGTACATAAGGTAAAGAACTTAAAGAGCAGTTGTTTTCCAGAGCAGAAAGTTTTCATTTTAGGTGTGACAAAAACTTCAAGTAAAGCTTTACTGTTAAAGTTTATCAAAGAACATAAAAAACAGTTACTCATTTACTAGTAAACTGTTACAGGAATCTTTTGAGTTTATACAACTGAATATACCCCATTTACATGACTGTTCACAGCTACTGAAGGGTCATAAAGTACAGTCATCCTTTATGACAAAAACAAAGAAAAAATGTGGTTAAACACATTTCCAGTGAACTGATCTGAGCTTACAGCTAATCTATAAACCAGTTATAGATATCCAACCACATTTAGACAAAAATTTCAAGCCCAGTAAACTTAAATACTACTGAAAACTGATCAGGGGATTAAAGTGAACCACAAACTGAATGGTTCACTGACATGACACTGCTGCAAAGAAGTGTACTGCCATTTCCAAGACTAACAGCAATGCTAATTTTTTCCTCGTGCAAAATAAAGCGTGCGACCAGTTCAGACAATACACATCCAAGACATGGATCCAAGATTTCTCTCGACTTTGTCCAAGAAAAATACAACTTTTAGGAAATACAGACCAGGAAGAAGAGTTTGAAAATTTCAACTGCTTGCAGCAAAGAAGATTTAAATTAGGTGGACACACTTGCCTGTGAATACTGTACTATATGAAGTCTTTACAAATATAACAGCTAGTTTAGGAGACGGTCTAAATGTGCCTCACCTACCTCAGGGTCTGATCTTTAATGATTTTATAATTTACAGTCATGATAATTCTAGAAATCATCTGTAGACACTAAAAGCTCTTACAGAAAACTTTCAGCACTTTGTGTGCTTAGCTGGCAGTCTAAAATAAGCATTAGGTTGCAGATAGTAAATGTACCACCTCCCACTTTACATAAAAAAACTTCCAACAACATGTAGCCCATTTGGTATGCTATTCTTCTTTACTACTAAGTTATATTCCTGGGAATATATTTAATAGAATAAAAAAATTATATGCCCTATGACAAAACCTCTTGACAACGTCTCCAAATATCTGTCGGGGGGGGGTAAAGAAGCTGAAGCCAGTGGTATCCAACAAGATGTGAAGCACTGAGCACAAAATGAACCACAGGAAATTTCACAGAAACAGCGGGGTGGGAGGGGGGAGCAAACAACAACAAACCCCACAACCCTTTCCTTATTGTGAAGGTGGTCAAACAGTAAAACAGGTTGCCCAGAAACACTGTGGAATCTCCATCCTCAACATGGATAACCTGACCGGTGAGGGCCCTAGGCAACTTACTCTACCTGACCTTGCTTTGAGCACAGAAGTCAACTAGACGGTCTCCAGAGGTTCCT